TGTTCTTAGCAAGTTCACAAGCACACAATTAACACAAGAATGAATTGCACTGTTTGTATCAAGTGCAAATGTGATGGACATAAAGCACAAAACCTGTTCTCTATAACCACGGTGCCACTGATAGCGCCGTTTTATAACATCACACCACAGAACACTCTTTATCCTGCTGTCGTAATATTCCTCATTAGAAATTCACGGCACAGAAATTTCGCATAATTTTTGGGATTTAATTATAAAGAGTGATAGAGAAGAATTCATTGAAATTTCTACCACTTTTTCAGTGAAATAATTATATAAAAAAATAATTATTCAACATGTAAAATCTCACTTTTTATGGTTTTCCGTATCATGTTCTTGAAGGAATACATTTGGACATTAATTCCTCATGTTGCCAAAATCCTGGAAATTCCAGCTTCCAACATGTTTCAACAAACATTCCATAAGTTTGTCTCTAATCAATAAAATTCTTCTCCTTTAAAATCTCCACAATTTTACTCAGAGCATGTTCTTATCACTTTTATATCTAAGAGTTGCAGTAATAAGCACAATTACTATATTTCCATCAGAGACGGAGACAAATTCATTAAAATCATTCCACAACATTTGTATAGTCAACAGCAGGTTTTACAAAGTTACTGACACAGAATTTGTCCACTTACAGTCATGTCACAACCAACTAGTCCCTTCAAAATTATACCTGTTGTCTTTCTTTATCGCAAATTAGCCTCAAAGTGCCTATATATAAAAAAAAAAATCTAAAATAAAATTTGAGGTAGTGCGAGTGAAAGCGTGAGTTCTGTCGTATGACTAAAGGAACAGTGTTCTGGTCTGCCAGCAAGTCTTTTAACCATGAAACTTGGAAACACTTTCTTTTGATCAAGATTACGGACTCTGCCCGTCCACTGTAAGTGGAGGGTAGTGGTGATAAATATCTTAATATCAGAAAGGCGCTCTGCAGGTGCCTAGGTGTTTATATGCTGTTTACTGGAAATGGTTTCACCAAAATATATTATGCAGATAATATCAAAGTCAGAAATTTAGGTGCCAAGCTTCTAATGGCTTTATGCTTTGCTGGTGTTTTGTTAGGGTTTGTAACAACACCTTACGAAGTGTTGGATAGGCTGTACAGATCTGTCTCACTTGGAAACCAAACACGAAACATTGTAATCCTAGGGCATGCTAATCAATAAAAAGGTAGTGGTTAGAGTCGGAAACTGCTGGCAGTATAACTTGACTTTATGGAGTAAGGCGCCTCATAATGTAGGGGACTCCTGGAGGCTTGGGGCTCCTGAGGGACACCTCTAAGGGTGATACAGAATAAAGACAAAATCTCAAGGCTCCATACATCAACTCTTAATGGCCAACGACAGAATAATGGGGATCTAGAAGGCCAATGATAAAAAAATTGATGCTTCAAAGATTTCAGCTTTGCACTCAAAGAAATATTTTAAGGCAACCATATATTCTCCTGCAATATGCCAGATCTAGAAGGCCCCTACAATAAGCCTAGGGGTCCAACATATCAACTCTAACTCAGCGTAAGGGGCAGCACTTATTGAAGGTCAATGAAAAAGAATTTGTTAGCATATCTAGTGGGCCGTATATGACAGAGGTGGGCTTATGATCAGGTATGGGCTTATTGTCTGATATATTGTATGTAAAAAAGACTTTGGAGTCTTGGGGCTCCTGGAAAATCCCTCTATACTGTTATTCAGCCAAGACAAAATCTGAAGGCTTCAAATTAAAATTTAACACCGGTCAGACAAGGACCTAAGACAAAGCATATGTGCTGACAAAAGACAAGATGCTTACAAACCTCCATGTGCCAAGACACCAACCAGTGTTGGGGCTCCAGAGAGACAAATATAGGCTGTCACTGTCAGACCATAGACAAACCGTCTCAGGAGAACTCAACACCTCCAGACAAACATGGTCCAAATTTAGTTTAAAATAGTCGAGGAACCACTGAGGGACAACTCTTAACACCAACAGCTAGTTGATTTATACTAATTGAACTCTTTTCGAAACAATGTTCAGAACTTTCCAATTAAATTTTATTTTGAGATGTCAATTAAGTATTTAATCAAGATGTGTACGTTGTTTTCAGAGGGTGAGTGTCTTTAATTGGTGGTTTAAACAACATTTTAAGATAACCAAATCTTCTATACTTTTGATTTATTGAATTTAGAAACTGCAAAGCTACTGAAATTTCAGCAAAACACAATTCAATATTTTAATGTTTTTACTTTGACTGGTATCAACTCGTAGACCCCTTACAACAAATTCCCAAGGTTAGTAGTTAATCCTATATATAAACTCTTCACTGCAGTAGGAAGCTATCCTCAACCATGTTATACCTATTGAGTAACAATTGTCTTACAGTTCCCCAAATATTCTCCAAAATGTTGTTTATTATCCAGACAAGTGAAGCTGATAGCTACTCCATTTCAGATAAACGTCATCACAGTTTCCGGGAATAACTATTATGCAAATGCCCAAAATAGCATCTGATCTGCCTTACATAGCATCCCATCCAGGACCATCCTATGTTATCCTACAGAGTGTATACTGCTGTATCTTTCTTAATTTTCTTTATTATTTTCCATGAGACTATCAAAGACAGAGAGACCTTTTTAAATCACTGATATAAAAAAAATACCATCTTCTGAAACAGAAGAGCTATATTTATGATTCAAAATTTGTTGAGATATCAAACCTCTTAATGTACTCAGATTTGTTTTCTAATTCTAATCTCATCCAGTACTGATGTGAAATCCCTCCTCAATCAACTCATCAAATGAATGAGCTCTAATGGGGTTCAAGTCAACAACTAAGATCAAATGGGGTCAAGGATTAGCAAATGATTTCAAATAAGGTCAAAAATATAAATCAACAAAATACTTCTGATGAGGTCAAGAGTCAGCAAACAATTCAAGGGTCAACCAATAGTTCTAGTGGGGTTCAAGGGTGACTCCATCAATCATATAGAATCAATGCTGAACAAACTACATAAAGGTTGAAGGTCAATTAATCCGTTCTACAAGGGTCAAAGTTGAACAGACCAATGACACATGTGTAAACACATTACTGTCTGTCCCAGACAAACGAGAAACATGACACAGGGTCAGGTTCAGTCGAGTGTTAGAAATGTTAATTAGTTTTCATATCAAGACGTGCCATCATAACTTCATTTTGAGGAAGCTTTGTGGCGGGCTAAATGTATGAAATTTGATGATGATGAGCATAGCCAGACGCAGTGGCACTCAGACCAGGATGAGTAGCCCCCCCCCCCCCCTATCTGATCTGAGATTTAAAGCAGATTGGCAAATGTCCAATTATATGGAAGTTTACTTTTTGGTCTAAGGTATCTCTCTTACATTATTTTAATTTATACATGGATACTGTTTGTCTTTGCAACAAGTCTTCAAAATATTTCTTTATTTACATATATATTTTTTTTGTGTAAAAGTCCATCCATTTTGTAAGTGCATTTATTCACTAAAACTGATATTTCCCCTTAAACGATGACTGATCGGCCCCACAACAACTGACCACAGAGACAGACCACAACTTATTTTTTTAATGCTTTATCTTTGACAGGAAAATCACAAAATCAATAGCGTGGAAAATCAAGATGATGGATCAAACTCACACTACCGAGAGTAGTTGCTAATTGATGGTAACACAGCAGGATCACCAGAGCACAAGTATAACACCAGCCAGAGTAATGTCGTGCTTCATCTCCAGAGATATCGACAGAAATTTAGATATCTGCCAGACTTCATGGTGATTGTTAATTTATCTTGTTTAAGTGTTAACAATAATTCAGCATACACAAGACCTTAACTGAATCATTTACATTCTTAACAATTTAATCCCTCCAAACTGCACCATGACAGTCACGCCATCAGTAATGTCGCATGATTCTTGTTTGTACTTTCAAATTCAATAAGATTAAATTATTTGTTGCTTAAAATATGATAATGATTTGCAAATCAATGTTCTGAGGGAATAACAAGATTTAAATCTACAATCAATAACATGTGATTTTTTTTTATATTTTTGTCAGCATCGATCTCCACTTCAGTATTTTTTAATTCATTATCTTTTCCGATGTTCTGATGTCTGCTAGCAGCCCTTAACGCACCTGCTACTCCATATAGTTTGGTTTGGGACGTATATAAGGTCTCTCAGCTACTCACTCAGGAAACAGTATCATCTAACGCTACCACTTTTATAATAGTCCCCCTAACACTATTGATCAGGGTCGATTCTATTCACCAGCGAATGTTTTCATGTGAAAATGAGAGCTGAAGCTGAAGCCATACCCCAAAATTAAGTTTAAAGCATAACAATTTCACGTCAGAAATAGTTTTCCTGCTGCTTCCAGTTCAAGAAACCCATAAGGTGAAATCTAAAGGTTAGGGTTTGTACCAGGAGTTGTTGATATAAACTTGATTGGAATCCCTAGTCTGAGCAGCTGACAGAGATTACTAAAATTACGTAAACAACATACACTCACAGATATAAAACTGATATGTGCAAGATTAAGGAAGAAACTCATGACAAAACCTATTTCTGTAGTTATACATTGGAAAACTGATGAACAAATCAGATACCTGTAGTTTATCGGAGTGTTTATCAGTTAACATTTCCTTCCCTGAAATGTCACTCAGGAATAAAATATTGTCAAGTAGTGAAAATCAGAGGGAGACAAACCAGCATGTTAATCTTTCATACTATGAAATACATTCATCTTACTAACCAAGGCAAAGGCAGTCTGGTATGATGACAGGCTGTTGTTTAAGGTTTCAGAAATATGATTTTGAGGAAAGCTAAATCTGAACTTGAGAGATTGAGCAAGAAAAAAAAAAGGGACAGTTGTGAAAATGACAAGAGAAATCTTTAAAAGTGGTGAAAAAAATAATTAAAATAATATTCTTGACAGCATTTTTGTGTTAATTCAATATCAAGCTGTGCATGCTTTGAACTCTACTTACCTCATCCAGGGTAGAAAGTTGGGCCTGTGATGACCGCACACTCATACTCTTCTCATGTAAACTTATACGGTCCATGGAGTAGTCGGAGCCATCATCAGAACTACTGTCATCGTCAAGGTGATGGAATTCGTCTCCATGGAGATTTCTACATCCTGTGAGGTCAAAGTTCATTTTGCAATATTGAATATTTTTCATATTAGGAATTGACTCCAAAATAACTTCCATGGCAGTTTAGAACATCATCACATATATTCTCAAATGACTTCAATGCTAGAATTTGATTATTATCATAACATGAAGGATATATTCCCAAATACCTTAACATATATATCTAGGTCAACTATAATCTTCCCAGTCTAAATTCAAAATCTCTGGAATAGATAAAAGTCACAATATGTAACTGATAATCAATATGTAACTGATAATCAATAGTAGTCGGTTCATTGTGGTCTGTTCAATAAATGTAAACAAAATGACGGTCGATCGGTTCAATTTGATCACGGGAAGTTGGTCAGAACCTTAGAGGGGATCCTATATAGAGCTGTAATCCGTATAAGCTGTGACAATTTCCATTAGTGCTATTATGAATAAACACCGCACTAATGAGTCACAAGTGTCAGTTAATCTGGGAAAACAAGACATGTGTAGATCTACGTACTGGATTAGCACAATTAACAAAGCATTCAGCATTTAACCGTCATTTTACTTACAATTATTGAATCACAAATAATGAAAATAAAAAAGACCAACAATAACAAAACCTAAACCAGAATTCCCATAGTTATGTCAATTTCCAACCAGCCTTCCTAAATTTTTATCAATTCCTTTCAAAATTTCATATTTCAACAAATTTTATTGGACAAAAAATTGCACAATTGGATAAGACAACAGGCTTAGCCTTATATATAAGTCAAAATTTCATGTTGGAGTATTACATGACAATTTCAGGAAATGATTGAAGGGAAGGGAAACAGTTTTCACTGTGCTTTTATCTCAAATTTTAAAACAATTGAAAAAACATATTTTTTAAACTTGTCCTGATCGGGCAATAGAACTTACCTAAAGCACCATGCCTTTTCCGACATCTGTGTAGTTTGTCTAAACTTTCTGGCATACTATGAGATCTAACTAAAGTGGATGAAGTTTTCCGTGTCCTCTGTTTCCGTGGTGTTCTTTCCAGGCGAGTTTTAATTGGTTGAGGAGTGGACATCTGTAATAAACGTAAACAGTTCAATTTTATTTCATAAGAAAAAAAAGAAAAAAATCTTTTACAAATTCAAATAAAACTGTGTGTTTATAATATATATCTGTGACTCACCAAATATATTTTTAGTGCCAATATTGAATAAATTGTTTTCCCTTTCAGTTCAGTTTTAAAAGACTTTGTCTTTAGTTCACAATGCAGGACTACATGCAGTACAAATACCTTGTACATTGTATATGAATAGTAACCTGAACCTGTATCATTATATATCAACATTTACAGATAAATAGTAACCTGTACCTCTATCATTATATATCAACATTTACAGATAAAAAGTAACCTGAACCTGTATCATTATATATTAACATTTACAGATAAAGAGTAACCTGCAGTACTCTAGGTGGCAGTACAACTCTCTTGTAATCATAGATTAAATCATTACGAAAGTGTAAAAACAAAATTCAGATACAATGACATTTAAACCTGACTGTAATTAAGCAGCAATTAATACAACTAGAGTAATTAATTAGCACCTCTGCCAGCTCTACTCACCGAGAGAACAGGTGCCCCCTGTGTATACATACAGGTAACACAGACTATTACTCTAGTGTACCAGACACCCCCTCATTTTATACTGTCTAACCACTGCCATCAAGATTATAATATTTACTCCTTCATTCAAACAAAGAACTACATGTAAGCATTTTATCAAACATTGTTTTTAATAATTGAAATACTGTCTGCTTATTTAAATTTTATGTTCACAGAAAAACATTTTAATTGTATGAGTCATATACATACATTGTAACTTTACATACATACATAACGAATGTTGTTTAATTAAAGCAGGATTGGTTTTAAATATGCCATGCTTAGTCACCTATTTAATATCTTCTACTGTCATAAAACAAAGTAAAGAAATTACCATTCAATGACAATGTGAACAAATGTATATAGATTTAGTGTTTAATCATATTTTGTTCCAGAAAAAAAACAAGAGGCCCAAGGGCCTTAGCGGTCACCCGAGTTATATCATAGGTACTGGTAGCTTTATTTTATTGTTTAGATGTGATGTGGAAATCAGCATGTAAACTAAGTGAAATACAATACTTGTCATGTCATCAATGGATAAGAATTTGAAAATATTG